GGACTCTAGATCCAATGTGTTTTTTTTTTTCCAGTGCACAGAACCGTGTTTCTGATTTGCGCCCTTTGCGTCATAGTGGCCATGGGTGTCTTCAAACCCGGAATTTCCGGAAAGTCTGGATATAGAACTGATTTTTTAAGGGCGGTCCGGAAGTACTGAAAAAGTGAGGAGTTTTGCGAGAAAGTCCGGAATTTGTGTCATTTTTGTCGCAATTCGAGCGATAATTTCAAATTTTTGAAAATTTTCGAATTTCGTCGATTGGAGGCAATGAAAAAGTACTGATTTTCTCTTATGAGGAGGTACTGAATATCTTGGGAATGGACTGGAAAAGCACTGTAAAAGTACTGATTTTTGGCCAGCCTTTTAGACACCCTCGTGCGGTAAAATGCGTTCAAGTGCTTCTTACAATCGACAGTTTTTGTGTTTAATGAGTCTTTGATAGATTTATGACCAGTCAATGACTAAATTTTTTAATAAATTATCACAATTAACTCATGAGAAATTCGTACATGAGATTATGTTAGTTTTATTATGTTTGAACCAAGAGTTCGATATTATATCGAATGAGGTTAGTCACTAAATCGGACTATTCCTTCGAAGCTCGTTTGGAGGAACACATTATGCAAAATTATGGCAACAATTCACCGTATCGGCGCAGTAAGCGAGCGCATAAAGTCGGTGAAATAAAAAAAAAATATATATATATATATAAAATCAAAGCTAAGTACCAGACGCATCCATGCATCATTATTTCCAGAAGAATCGAGATATAGAGCTTGCACCTATAATACTCCTTTTAAAAACTAAAAGTCGGAAAATGATGCACCATTTTAGGGCTAATGAACCCGAGAAATATGTACGCCGTAAAAATCTTTTTTACCTCATCGAAGAAATGAAACATTCGATCTAAAAAGTACAAGGTGAAATTTTGAAGCAGAGACAAGGTGTTCAAAAGTAAAAATGTAATCAAATGTAAATCTGAGCGACACCTCACTTGTAGCATAGAAAGGAGCATTGCGAGTTCACGCTTAGCGCCATCGCGCCTTCAATTTTTCAGATGCAACACGGACATCCATCGTGTACGAATAGTTGTATCTCTGCGCCGTCATCAATGCGCCTCCTTTTACTTTGCTCTATTTCCATACTTTGTTTGTTTCAGTTTGTCTTATTTGTATTTTTAGCGGTGCTTTAAAGACTGTGTGAGCAACACAGCCGTAAATAAGAGAGCACTGGTAAAAAAAACCTCTTGGTTCAAGAGTGCAGTTTCTTGTCGCCGGATTTAAGAGTCCGGACTCTTGTTTCAATGCAAAATCCGCTCGAATCAATGCAAAATCCGCTTGAAACAAGAGTTCAGACTCTTGAATCCGGTGACAAGAAACTGCACTCTTAAGTCAATGCAATGGGGCATTGGTCCAAGAGGTTTTTTTTACCAGTGAGCCGTTGAGCCTCGTTTCTTAACTTTTCTCACGACCCCTCATTGGCAGCATAAAGTGGAGCTGCGGAACATTGCGAATTCACAGCTCGCGCCATCGCGCCTTCAATTTTGCAGATGCAGCACGGACATCCATCAAGCACGAATAGTTGTATCTCTGCGCCGTCTTTCCATTTCCTCTACTCCCATATTGTGTTAGTTCCGTTTGTCTCATTTGTAGTGGTGATTCTTCAAGGGCTACGTGAGTGACACAGCCGAAAATAGAATGTGCCCCAATCAATTATCATTTTGAAAAGAGAAAAAATGTTGGAGGTTGCTCAAGCGATCAAAAAAGCGCACATCTAAAAATTGACTGTACCACTTAGAGAGTGGCACATAGCAGATGAGGAAGGGGGGGTGATAAAGCGTGCCTATTTATACTTACCTTTTTTCTAACGGCATGCGTCTTCCATGAAGTTCCTTTCTAAGTTTAGAGACAATTTTTTATCGCTCAATTGGGAAATCGGGATCTGGAAAGTATTCGCTCTCGTTAATACGAATAAAGTTGAGTCGATACTTTCTATTTTTTCTTTTATTTTTTGCCTTGGGTGGATGCACTCTAATAAACCAGTCGGTTCAATCATTGAATGCCAATACAATGAATAATATTTAATCAAATTGAGGTTGTATTTAGTTTAGGGTTGATCAAATGCGACCATTAAAAATGTAAGAATGCGGAAAAATTCCCTACTAGCCAGCTAAAACGAGAGAACTTGCGTGATTGTTTTTCTTAAATTGTCTACTTCTTGTTCGTTACACGGAAACGATTAAATTGCTGATTTAACAATGCAATCGCTAAAAAAAAGTGAGTGCAATGTTTCAATGTAGATTTTACAACACAAAAATGCTGCTTTAACCACACCCGTGGTTAAATCAGCTTCAAATAGTGGTTAATGTTACATTTTTTTGTTGTTAAATCTACGTTGAAACATTGCAGTTACTTTTTTTTTAGCAATTTATTTCTTAAATCAGCAATTAAATTTTATCCGTGTAGGAGAGGGACAGAAAGTCCTGAATATACCAAAGATGCTGTTGGAGGCACGTTTCAATTTTGAAAATTTTTCGTGGGTCTCTTAAGCTAAAGAGTGTCCCTTGAATATCCCCTAAATCAATCTCTCTCCAGGTAGAAAAATTCATAAACCCGGCACTGGTCTTATTCACAGAGATTCCCCATTTGGTGCAATAGTATAGTTCTGACCAGTGGAGAAGAGAACTGCAGACGCGTTTCGGGTCTAGTTGGACCTGTTATCGGCGCCGGCACTTGGGCAGAACTACGAACTTTTTTGTGGAGGGAGGGGGGGGGGCAGAAGGGCACCCTATCAAAGTAGAGTTCAGGGATAGAATTTTTGGGAAATTGAGTTGTTCTCAGGAGAAATTTTGAGCTGTTCTTGCCGAATAATTGATTTTCAAAGATAAACTTACTTACCTTGCAAAACAATTTACATTTCTTTGGAGAGGTCAAGCAGGTTGGGGGGGGGGGGGNNNCCCCCCCCCCCCCCCCCCCCCCCCCCAGTTCCGCTCATGCGCTAGCGCACGGCAAAGGCGAGGCGTGAATGATCGATTATCGTGATATTTCTACATACAGGGCTATTCAAAAACCACGCACCACTGGCTATAACATTAGTTCTAATTATGATATCGACTTGTGATTCAAGACGTTTCTCCTCATTTCAAGGGAGAAACTTTTTTAGGTACTTCCCAGTTTTTGATCCCCTAGGAGGATGGGGGCGGGGGGCAACTGAAAAATTTTAAATGGCCACCGCCCTCAAAGCCGTGCGTGACTTTTGAATAACCCTGTATATGAGGCTATGGTAAAGAATCGATTACTAGGATGTTCGTTGCGAATTCCCTGTTTATCGATCCTCCTCCATAGGTTCAAAATAATGGCGGATCAATTTTGCTTTTCCCAGTTTCTAAATCTTCTTCTCTTTTTTCGTCTGTTCTTAAATTTTCTTCTTCCTGCATACGTGTGTATATTTAAATTATTTGCGTGCTCTTATACATGAACTCATATTTATATTTGGACTTCATTTTGCAGTTTGGAGCAATAAATTCTGTCTCATCTGAAAAAACACGTATGTGCATGGGGAAACAAATGGCACACACGTGGTTTTTAAACCGAGCCGGGATTTATAGTTCCTAATTGCAAAATGTAGTCCATTTAACTGTTGTAGTTTCGGCGATCATGATGGCCTCTTTTGTTTCTTCGTCTGTATTAATCTCTCTCTCATTATTTTGACAGCTTAGCTGAGTGTTCCAGTCCCAATTTGCTGGGCAGTCCATTTATTCTTCATTTATTGTATTCTTTAATGAAATAAATTAAAATGTCAACATTGATCATTTCCGTTACTTGTCACACAGGGTGGTTGTAATAAAATTGAGGTTGTTTCAGGAGGGAGTCGACTTTGCCCCCCCCCCCCTCCCTCACTCCTTTTCAACCAAACTTTGGTCAGATGTTGTATGAGATGTCCATTAAAATACAAATTTAATTCTCTGTTAAAAACTAGGATTAGATAACCTATTATTAGACTAATTATCATTAAGGTAGTAAAAGAAAAGCCTTCAAACTTAAAACATTTGGCGGTAGTTTAATCTAGAAGAATCTGCTCTGTAATTAACAATCCACAATCACTGGAAAACAACACATTGGATCTAGAGTCCAGACTATTGAAAACATTGACAAGAAAAAATACTCTTGATTCAATCGGACTTTTGCTTGAATTAAAACGAAATCCGCTTAAATTAAGAGGCTTGGTTCTTGATTTGAGCTATATTCTGATTGAATCAAGAGTACTTTTTCTTGAGTCTGGACTCAAGATCCAATGTGTTTTTTTTTTTTTTTTTTTCCAGTGATCTATTCAATTTTATTTAGAGAAATTTATATATCCTCAATGCCTCGGCAAGATTTCAGCCCCATCAGTGGATTAGAGAGAAGAAGGCGGGGTGACGGGGGAACCCATCCTGCAGAACTTAAAAAAATCGAAATCCCGTCCCAAATGTTCAGTACTACGGTTTGCGCTAAAAAACGCCCAAAAATATTCCGATCAAGATTAACTATGCTGTTTTGATGGTTGCATAACTTAAATATCAAGATCGTGATTGAGGGGCTTGGAGGACAAGCCGGACGAGTGCAATTTTTTAAAAAAAATTAAAAATCAAGGATTTCAATTAAAACTAGCCCTAAAATGTTGAACTCTTGTAAAAGATTTACTACTGAAATAGAATTTTTAAGCATAGACAAGTGAGCTTGAACTTTCTTTCCGCCAGTAGGCTCCATGTAATTTCAGAGCTTTAAAAACGTACGCACGTGCTTCTTGAAATAGGAAAAAACTGCACTTGTGCGCCTTGTCCTGCGATCTCCTAAAAAAAATCTGGGAAGTATGCATTTTAGAATGAGAGTCTGACGTTTCTCATAGGGCGCGGAACTTGTACACTTGATGGATTCTGTACATAAAATTTTTTAAAACTTTGAAAGTTTCAGTTCGTTGTGTGATTTTTCTGAAGAATCAGAGAAACAAAAAACAAAGAATGTTCTTCGAAATTTGAAATGCACATTTATTTCCGATACATGAAAAGATCTGAGAAAGAAATTTATGTCTTGTATACATTTACAAAAAAAAAATAGGCCTGCTTAAAGCTTTTGAAAGGCTTGCGCTAAGTATAAGATACGTAAAGAGGATGGAAGACAACTTCCAAAGAAAAAATTAACTTTGGATAATGAACGACACAACATGAGTCTGTCCCCCTTTTTGCGACGGACAATTAAGTAAATAGTTTAACGAAAAGTAAAGAAATACAAATAAACACTATTCTAGAGTAGTAACGTATCACTTCACACGTAGATCAAAAAATTAAATTTCATCTCATTATGAGCAAGGGTCTGGTTTCGTGCGACACTGCAACCGATTTACCCTGGTAAAACATAAACATTTTTAGACTAAATAGAAAAATAGTTAACATGGCTAACCGCTACGAAAATATAATTATTAAAGAATATACAATTTATCATAGAAAAATAATCAACAAAATTAACTTCCTTAAAAACACTGGTGTAGCTTAGGACATAACTCGCATGTGTTATAATAAAAAAATAAACCCTTCGAAAACGGAAAAAAATGTAATATTATGCGTGAATAGGTAGGAACGGTGTATCTAACGGCGTAAAACTTGATTCAAAGATAAAGCTTTGGTGAGACATGAGGGGGAATTTTTTCCCAAAAAGTAATATTTCAAGAGTTTCTGCTCGAATTTTGACATAGGGATTGATGCGGAGCTATTAATTAATAAGACTTTTTCTCTCTTTTTTCCAGTGATGTGACACACGTTAAGACACGTTTTGAAATAGGCCATTAATAACATAATGTATACATATATATGCTACATTATATTTAAAATTGTACTATATGCACTATGGAGGAAGGCAATTTTCTTGCCATCTGATGCAACAGCAAAATACGGGACACCGGTTCATTGCAATACGTAAAAAAAAATTGAGCTACATAACTTAACCTAAATGACGTAAGTTAGACAGCAGGCCATGCCAGCCGTATTTCGTTTACATAGCTCGATTCTGTTATATCAAAAGCATGGGTGCTTGGTGAACTCGAAGGATGTTTTCTTTCTCTTTTTGGTAACAAAAAATTTAAATATACATAATTTTACATTTAGAAAAATAATAGGAATAAGATACAAAAGTCTCAGCATGGATACCGGAAAAGATATCCGTGATGTAAGCGAGCCAGCTCAATTATTACTCGCAAAAGGAGAAAAACATTATTTATGGTTGTTTTCGGTAGACAAACCATTGTTGGGTCGCATTAATGAGTAAGGAGGCGTGAATGCATAATTTTGACAGTTCATCACGAATTCATCGAGGAGTTTTTTTGAGCTTTCATTACTTCCATTGCTATCATTGTTATTGTTGAATTGGTGTCTGAGAAGGAATTCAATGGCCTCTTTAGGATACTTTGAAAAATCTCTAAGATCATTTTGGTTCGAAATAGACTTCTGCAGCTGGCCCGTCCTTTGTGCAAGTTCTGCAAGGGAACCTAAAGGAGGAACTCTTAATGGTGCCAACGGGGGCATCTTTTTCCGTTTTTCGGGGGGTGAGGAACTCAACTTTTCAATTTTTACAGAGGGCCCACAACCGGCGCCAAGCGAGTCTCCAGACGACAAATCCAGAGGACCACTATTCTCCCGCTTTTGACCTTGAGCAGACTGTTGCGATGGTGGCGAAACATTCGCTTTGGTGGAAATGCAAAGTTTCGGAGACTCTTTGGACGATAAGTTATCTTTAGCTTTCGAGCTCTCCGTCAGAGCTGTTCGATTCTGATGTGGGGGTGCTTTAGGGGTATCTACTTTCTTATCACGGGAGAATGACATCAACTGTATCGATACATCTGGTTGCACCATCTTCATCTTTTTTGCCTCTGCCTCCTGCTGCGACTGAGAAAGCAGTGAGACACTTAAGCATCCGTTCTCTGTTTTGATACATCGTTCTAGTTCACTTCTCTTCCGTTTCGTGATTTCTATTTGGTTGGGACTAGAAGTGACTTGGACTCCACTCAGAGGGGAACATCCGTTGGCTAAGTTCTTTCTATTGGGGATATTTCCACTTGGAGTTACACTTTTATTGGGAGAGTCAAAAGCACCATTCGACGGTTTCTTAGCTGCGATTGGATTCAAGCGGTTGGACATGTTCTTCTGCATGATCTTGTTGTCCTTAGCGGGAAGGGGTGTCGGTATATTCTCATTCTGTTTCGTTTCGTACGTGAAAGGAAGTTTCGTTCCATTTACTAATTTACCACTTACGAAACTGCCAGCGTTAGAAAGCTTTTGACGAGGAGTGGGCGAATTAGGTTTCGAGTTGACTAGTTCCTTTTCGAAGCGTCTGAACTTCTCGCTGACGGACTCGAAATGAGTTTGCTTTGCGGTCTCGGGTTTTTTGATATCATTACTTCTATCAACGTGGGGGATTTTTGCAGGAGATTTACATTCCTCAGAGTGTTTGCTCTCAATTGGAGCACAGGAGACTTTCCAAGGAGACAGGTTCCTCGGTAAATCGGCTGCGGTTTTTCCATTGCTATTTGATTCGAAATTCTTGATGCTGTCTTTAGACTTAGGAATTTGCACTTTCCCATCGGGAGGAAGCGAGGTAATACTGGGGGCTTTGGCACCTACAGTTTGGTTCGGCCTACTCTTTTGGGTGGGTTTTGGATTCACGTTTTCAACAGCAGCCTTCTGTACGCTCAGCTGAAGCTTTTTGTCGTCCGAAAGAGAGCTTGTTAAAGCACTGTTCTTCGGGGTATTCTGACTTGGTTTGTTAACGCAGTTTGTGTTCTTCGGGGTATTTTGATTTGGTGTGCTAACGCAGTTAGTGTTCTTCGGAATATTTTGACTTGGCGTGTTAACGCAGTTAGTGTTGGATCCCGGATTTGATGGAACGGGTGTGGTATTAGAAGGATTTTTAAGTTCAACCTGAGGATTTTTCGCCGGGCTTTTATCTGAAGGAGCATGGGACGGTAAATGCATTTGAACTGAGGTTTGTGCGGTGGTTGTTGGGGTACTGGTATTTACACCTTGCGTAACAGAGGATGAGGGAATGACTTGCGCTTTTGAGGTTGGGGTTGCAGTATTAACTCTGCGGTTATCATTAGTAATGGAAGCATTCGAACTCTTGGACTTGAGTAAAACGTTATTTCCATTAGTTTTGCTGATTCCGTTCAATTTCATTCCGGATTTTTTAATCGAGTTGATGGACTTCTCCAAATTCCTCGCGGGTGTTTTATCCTCTGTAAAATCGTACGTGGCCATAGGGTCGGCAGGTTTCTCAGGCGAAGGAGAAGTAGCTTTGCGGTAACAAATACCTTTGGACCTCGAGGTCACCGGCACATTCGAAGGCGTACTTGCAGTGATACTGGTGGTTGAGGGTGTGGTAGGTTTTCCTGGGGACTCTCCTGTGGGTACCAAGACAATGCTCCTCGGCGAGGATGGTCTTTCTTCGAATCCCTTCTTGGACGCCACTTTTTCTATCGTGTCAACTTCGATAAGCGGAGGGGTCGCGGCCTTGGCTACAGACTGTGATTCATCAGGCGTCTTCCGACTAGGATGTGTTTCGTTCAGCGAAATGGTTTCCGGCTGTGGGATACTGGTCGTATTCAGAGAAGGTACTTGCGGTTCCACTACCGCAGGAGATGGCGGCTTGGGTTCTGATGCACTAACGGCCGGAACAAAGAGTTCAGTTTCGGGAGCAGATGCTTCTTTCACGGAGGCGTTGCTATCACAGAGCACTCGGCGTGGACTATGGATTCGATAGTAAAATCGCATAGGTCCATTCTGAAACATGAGAAACAAATGAAAGGATTAGAAACCATACCTAGATGACATAGAATTCCCCCCCCCTTTTTTTTCTGTTGTTTAATGGCTTTGTGTCGAGCACCTGCAGCCAACTGAAGACATAGACAAGTAACGAGCCTCATTTCTAGAGAGAGCATGCCATTCAATTAATTTAATTAGGGGTTGTCCCTTAATTACGTAACGCTCAGGGGGGGGGGGTTGAGGAGAGCGTTACGCCATTTTGTTTTACGTGTTAGGGACTTACGCCCCAAAAGCGTTACGGGAGGGGGGGCCCTTAGTGTGTCATAAATGAAATTAATGCGTCCATTAAATCATTCTATCCAAAAGTAATTACTGATGTTTTCGCATGAGGTTAAAGTATATCGTTTTCCTCAAATCTTACTATCGATATGCAATTTCTCAACTTACCCTTTTCCAGGTATAAATGTAAGCAATATCCATCAGTGAATAATCATCTGGTAAGGACTCCCTCTTGTAAAACAATTCAACCTGTGAACAGAGAAATTGAAAGAAAAAAATTACTCAAAGCGATTCAACCAGAGTAACATGAACTAAAGTCTTCTCTTAGAGGCAGGGATTAAAAAAGTGGGACTGTATTCGAATTCAGAAGGAAAACTGGTAAAAGTTCACAATCTGGACGTATTGTTACGAAAAACTGATGTCCTCTAAACAGACTCTGCTGATATAAGAGATGAGATTGTGAGGCCATGAATGCCTATGACTAATTTTGAGCCACAAAAAATATACATACAACAAATCTGAAGTGAAAGAGCGAAAATTTTGCCGGGTGGTTTGAAACTCACCTCGATTCAACTAACTCAGTTTCCTGGTGTACTTATGCAGAAGTCGACGGCAAAATAAGTGACGGAACATTACATTGAATTTCGATTAGGAGATTTTGAAGGACTAAATCGTAAAAAACTACGCAACCTGTCTTAGTGTCAATTTGAGAACTTACCGAAGCTTCTGGCGGAAGTTCGTATTTCATACGGACGAATTTCTTCAGATGACGCATACTGACTTCCGCGGGGCATTGCAAGTACCGTTTTCTTGGAGTACTTCGATCCAACTATAAAAGAAAAAAAAACCAAGAATAAATGAGAAAGTAGAAAAGATTGAGACAGCAGAGGTGTTAAATGAGTCGAAGTAAAGTGGCGGGAAAATTGGTCGCTCCAAGCTCTGTGAAGTAGAGAGCTTCTACTGGTTCTAACACTACCATGTGAGCACTGGAGAAATCTGGGGAATTTCTGATAATTTGTAAAAGCTTGAAAAGTGAACGAATTTTAGTCATTTTTACCTGCAGTATCTAAATCCAATTGATTTATTGCTCGAATGCACGCCTTCCAGGATGATATACAACTTAATTTCTTTCTCCTATGTAAAATTCGGCTTAAGAAACTATGCACTATTTTCCCCTAAAACGAACTTGGCCCCAGCTTAGAAAAAGTTCTTAAGGTTGCGGCTGAAGACGTTGTATCCTCTACGTCCAGCGGGCTGATTGTTCAAATTGACGGACAAAGCGATAAATAAAGAAGACATTGGGAACATGAAGCTATCCTATTGGTTTAAAATGGTTGGTTCCCGTTAACTAAGGGAGAAAATGATGGACTGACTTTAGGGTCTCTCGTGGGTTGCCGGTAGTTGTTCTATTATCTACCTTTTTTGTCCATTGCAACCACTCGCTTTAACCAATGGGATCCCTCCACACCTCTTTTACCTTCTTTATCTATAGCTTTGTCTATCAGTTTCGACAATCAGCGCCCAGTCAAACTCACATTGAGCGGATAAGGAGCTAATATCTAATTTGCAAGGCTGCTGTGTTTACAGTTCTACAGTCTTGAAGTTTCCGAACAAGCTGGCAATCCTGCTAGTGTATTTTCTCCCTATCCGTGCAAAAAAGAGTTTGACTGGATGTACACGTGGTCTCATAAAGTTCCCTGCCTCGACTTTAAGGACTTATTTACGCTTGAGAGTTCGTTTCAGAGCGACTAGCCAGGAGAAGACGCTTCAAGTTTCTCGCAGAAGTTTACTCCGGCTCAAGTGCTTTTATCGTAAACATATTGGCACGCAAGAGCTCCAGTGCCGTACAAAATTTGAATAAGATAGGATTTAGTTAGGAACACTCACCTGTTTGTTAGGCGACTGCGTGACAGATTCTTTGGCTGCTTCAGGGGAGCCACCGGGCGAGGAAGCGAGATCGGGGGTGATGCTCGTGTTGACGGTTGTCTTCTCTCCGGCAGCGACTCCTTTGCTCCACTCTTCTTTCTCTCTATCACTGTGAACATATAAAAAGAGGGAAGTTTGTGTAAGTTGTGTAAGTTTGTAGAAGTTTGTGTAGCAGGATGACGGAGGAAATGCTGCCGAAGAAAATGTTTGACTGGACTCCTCCCGGGAGGAGACGAAGGGGACGACTAGTGAAAGGGTGGTGACAGGGGGTTTCAGAGGAAATGAGGAACTGCCAACTCCCTGAAGGGCTTTGGAAGGATAAGAGACTTTGGCGGCTAGGTGTCGCAGAGCGCCAGAGAGCGTTGTGAAGGCAGCTTTTACTCGTGTATGTATATAAGTTTGTGTAAACTAACTCAACGTGACAGTTGAAAGCAAGCAATGCAATTGGTACAAGGTTCATGGCATCTATCAAAACTTTAGTGACTGGAATTCTTGATTATTTTCATTTCCTAATGGTTACGTTCCCTGATTTTTTATAATTTCCGTAGAACGACTCCCCTCAGATGAGAACCCGTGACTCCATCTCATTTTCATTTACCTATGCAGAATTTTGAGGGAAAAACGAGATTTTTTCCCGAAAAACGGCGCAAAATAGTAACTTCCATTCTTCTCTCCCTGACTCATTAACATTAGGCCAACATACATATCGCTATTGATATTTTTAAAAGAAACTGAAAAAAAGGTGACGTCAGCGTCTCAGGTAACCCCAGTTGGTGTTTTACCACTGGCGTCTTACCACTGGTTGGTGGCGTGTGAAACCTACCTATCGGTGTTGTACACCAACTATACATTACTTACAATTAGAGCTGCATTTAGTTGGTGTATAATACACATTTGGTTGGTTGTACCGTGATAAATGGGTTAGCTTGGCCAGAATTAGCCGTTCCGTTGATGCAGAAGGATATAATTTTTTCAGAAGAGGGAAAACTACATAAGAGCTTAAGCTTTTTCAAAAAGAAAAATTTCTACTACAGACTTATCTCCAGCGAAAGAAAACCGTGACTGCACCTTGTATGAAACATCGAAAGCACCTGCAACCAGAGCGCCCGCAGCGCGGGGCAACCGGTTGAAAAGGAGGCAATATAAACTCCACTAAAAAAGGTGAGCTCGGAAGCAAAAACCACGCAATACGCGGTTGCCATTAATGACGATATTGATCTACGTATAGGGAATAGCGGCGAGCAGTCGTCACCTTGCCCGATCGAATGGAGGCTTCCGGGG